TTTGTTTGTTATTCATTTTATTTTGTTGTTGCATTATGATGTTGAATAGTAACTACTTTATTTAATGATTTCTCGGAAAATCATGGAAATTTAATAAATTAATACAATGTTGTAAATACTATATTTAAAATTATCCCAGTCTACATTATAACCACATCAGATATTAATACCAGTAATGTTCAAACTGAACTAAGAAGAAAAATATTAAAGCACACCATTAACCATAGTCTTATGATTATTCTACCTTAAGATAAAATAAATAAATCTGAAAAATTCCTGATGTTTGAAATAGACAACAAAAAATATTATTAAGACTCTTATAACTATATCAAAAATGGTCAATATGTACATAAATATAATAAAATTGATTACTTATGGTTTACATTATCTAAAATTAAAATAATATTAAAAATATTAATTTTTAATGTACATATATATATATATATATATATAACTCAACCCACTCAATTATTCACTAAATAAATACAATACTTTCCTTTTTTTTTAGTTGCATCTTCTTCGTCCTCGCCTTAATCCCAACTACTTGGGGTCGGCCACCCTTATCCTAAGCTTCCACTTGACACGATCTCCCACATCATCTACGCTCACATCAGCTGTCCTCATATCGGATTCAATAGCATCCCTCCATCTCTTTTTTGGTCTTCCTCTACCTCATCTTCCTTCAACATTAATTTCTATAACTGTTCTTACAGCTTCCGATTCTTCTCTCATCATATCATGACCAAACCATCTAAGTCTATTTTCTCTCATCTTATCCACGATTGACGCTACACCTATACTCCCTCTTATATGCTCATTTTTTTTTTTTGTTGCATATGTTTCTTGATTTATAAGTTATAAATACTTTTTAATAACATCAATAGATCTTTTGTCAAATTAATTTTACTATATAGATAGTTTATTTTGAAATGTGGAAGAAAAGTACAATTTAATATAAAAAAATTACTTTTTTAAATTATAGGTGAACTAGCTTGGGTTTTGATTATCGTTATGATAATGTCATATATTTTTAATTTTCAATATTAAATTATGTATAGAGAGTGAACAATTTGTTATTAACCACTAGATTTCTCCTAAAATTGTTAATATTGAAAATATTTTATTTGGTTTGTTGAGTAATTTTTATCCCTTGATTAAATGGTCAAATACTTTTTTGGTCTGTATCTTATCCCTTATATGGAATAAGACATATATAAAAGTGTGAACTTACTAACTTGTTAGTTAATCATATACAAAGTGTTTGGTTATTATAAATCATTTGATTACACGCAAAATAAATACAATATTGGAAATAAAACTTTTGATTTATTTATTTATTATTTTTTTTTTTATTAACCTTTATTACAGAAATATTATTATAGCTAAGCGATTAAAATAAAATTATACAATAGAAACTAGTATTTTATATATGTATATTTTCTAAACTATTTACTTATTGTAAAATTTTTTTTTTTACAGATTGTAAATTTTATAAATAAATAAATAAAAAAAAAAAATAGATGAAAAATTTTAATAGGAAAAAATGGGTTTTTATAGAGATGAGGGTCGTGTAGCGATCCCTAGTGTGATCTTAGAAACTGTAGATCTTAATTAATAGTTAAATGTGATTGGCTGGACCTAATTGAGAACCCACACATAGGCGTTACTTTGAATCTGTACAATAATCAGGTTTAATTGCCTAGTTTATTTATTATTTTATATTTTAAATAAGGGAACCCTGTTTTGATGATCTTGTGAATTCATAATATATGACATACATGTACAAAAGATAACATAATATAATATTTTAATATTATAAGTGATAATATAATATTACACACTCTTTTAGTTATTGGCCTTGTTCGTTACTTTGCAATTACGTTATTTTGCAAATACTTTGCATTACGGATCTTACATTTATCAATGAAAAATGTATAATCTGTATTTTATATTACTAGTATAGAAAAAAATTAATAATAATCTGAGTAAGGAATGGTAAAGCAATAGATTGATTTAAAAATCATTTAATTTAATTATTAATAACTAGTTAGTGCTTGGTCATATACTGTGTGTCAGATAGGAG